CTATTACGGTTCCGTGAATATAAGAGCGCGCTGCAAGCGGACATCCGCAAGGCTTTCTTCATGGTCGCGGTTAATCCCGAAGACCGTCCGTACCTGCGTTTCTTGTGGCCCGGTCGAAGCGACAGCGATGAACTGTTAACCTGGAGGCTAACGAAACTGCCATTTGGCGTAAACTGCTCGCCGTACATGCTTACTGCGGTGATTCAGCATTACTTGAAGGAGCTACGAGCGTTGTCTGCACCCAAAGAGCGAGATCGTATTGATTTCTTGCTCACGAGTTTCTACGTTGACGATTTGGTCTCTAGTGTCTCAAATGCCTCGGAAGCCAAGGAGATGCAAGAGTTCAGCGTGCGTGTGCTTACGGATGCTGGCATGGAGTTACGCAAGTGGCGAGGCAATGAAATCCCGTGCGATCCAGAGGCCGGAGATAAAGTCCTCGGTCTGAAATGGAAAACCAGTGATGACTTGCTCAGCATAGCAGCGCTAGGCGAGTCCGATAGGCCGTCTGTTTGGACCCAGCGATCCCTCCTCAAGTGTGTTGCATCAGTGTTTGATCCGCTAGGTCTAGCAGCACCGGCAGTTGTGCCGGGAAAGATACTGCTACAGCAAGCCTGGAAAGTCGGAGGCGACTGGGATGATATGTTGCCTGATGGCATCGCAGCCGCATGTGCGCAATGGTGGGGAGAGTTGGCCGAAGTGGTGAGCATTGACATACCACGTTGGATTTGCTGCAATCTTGACACGCCGATTGCGCTTCATGCCTTCGCCGATGCCAGTGAGAAAGCGTTTGGATGTTGTTTGTATGCAGTCGTCAATGGACAGTCGCACTTGGTATTTGCCAAGGCCAAAGTGGCACCTGTGTCTCCGCCCACGTTAGCCCGCCTTGAGTTACAAGCAGTATGTCTAGCGGCTCGCTACGCTGAGTTTGTGGTGAAGGAGCTGCGTGTGACCGTCACGCAAGTCTATGGCTGGACTGACAGTCTCACTACCGTTCATTGGATCAGTAATCCATCGTACAAATGGAAAACATTTGTGGCTAACCGCGTCAGTCAAGTCCAAGAGATATCGAAGAAGGTCGGCATTGTGTGGAACCATTGCCCGGGCCTTCACAACCCAGCAGATTTACCATCGCGTGGGAGTAGTACACAGCAGATCCGTAGTCCGTTCTGGAGGGGCGGACCAACCTGGATCACGGAGCCCAATGACTGGCCCACCGCATCCTCAACCGCAGCTACAGATGAGTCCAGTGTAGAAGTACGAGTGTCAGCCACAACCTGTAGTCGAGAATCTGATAAGGAATGGTGGCTCCGATTCAGTAAATGGTCGAGGGCACAGGGCATGGTGACTCGGATGTTGCAGTGGAAGCACACTGAGCCTCGTGCTGAACTCTATTTTGCAGCAGACAACGTATTGTACCGCATCGTTCAAGCCGCATGTTTCGCTGAGGATCTTGAGCTGATCAAGCAAGGTCAACCAGTGAAGCCTGGGTCGAAGGTGTATCAGCTTGCACCGTTTCTGGATGAGCATGGAGTGCTCAGAGCCGGGGGACGACTTCAGCACAGCGAGTTGGCGTATGGAGCCAAGCACCCAGTCCTGTTAGGCAAACATCATCTGACCGAGTTGCTGTTGGAGAAAATGCATGTTGAAAGGATGCACCAAGGTGTAGAAGGAGTCTTGTCGTTCATCCGTCAGAAATTTTGCATCATCGGTGGTCGACGGGCGCTACGCAACATTACTCAGCGATGTGTTACATGCCGCCGCTACAAGGCTAAGGCTGCCTCAGAAGTCTGCCCGCCGCTGCCAGAAGACCGAGTTGTTCACGAGAGGCCGTTCGCAACTACCGGAATCGACTATGCTGGTCCGTTGTACGTGCGCCGTGGTGAGTCATCTCCGAAGGTATGGATAGCATTGTTTGTGTGTGCCACCACCAGAGCAGTTCACTTGGAGGTGGTCGATAGTTTAAGTACCGAGTCATTCTTGATGGCATTTCGGAAGTTTGTCGCGAGACGTAGTTTGCCGTCTCGGATCAGGTCTGACAACGCTACAACGTTCAAGGCGGCATCTGACAAACTGAGTGTGCCATGGATGTTCAATCCTCCAGCTGCACCATGGCATGGAGGCTTCTATGAGCGAATGGTTGGTACAGGGAAGAGTGCCTTGAAAAAGGTAATGGGAACAGCGTTTCTGAAGGTCCAGGAGCTTGAGACCCTCTTGTATGAGGTTGAAGCAGTGGTGAATAGTCGTCCGCTAACTTATGTGTCCGATAGCCTGGATGAGCCACCAGTAACCCCTGCAATGATGATGGGTAACATCTGGATGTCGTCAGAGAAGCCAGCAGGTACCCTGGACGCTGCGCAGATGTCATCGAGATTGCGTTACCTCAGTCGGACACTGGAGCATGTCAAGAATCGTTGGGAGGTGGAGTACCTAAGTCAGCGGAACAAACACCAACAGACCATGTCGCGCCCTTTAGCTATGGGTGATGTTGTCTTTGTTCTCGATGATACCAAGCGCAAACAGTTCTGGCGTTTGGGACGGATCATCGAGTTATTCCCTGGTCGAGATGGTAAGCGTCGTGTTGCCAAGGTTAAGTTGAGTACCAGTACCCTGTTGAAGCCGATCCAAAGGTTAGTGCCATTAGAAGTATCGTCACAGGACGTGGCTTCTGGGATTGCCGATACCACTCAACCTGCTATCGTCCCTCAGCAGCCAGCGTATGAACCGTCAGCACCGTTACCACCACCACGGCAGCAGGAGATGACGCGTTCTGGGCGCGTAGTCAGAGCCCCGGATCGTTTTTGACTTGTGTGCATTGTTGTACGGCGGTGAGAAGCCCTTTGGTGGGGAGAATGTTGCAAACCACCAGTTCTCAATTGGGAAAGGCCTTCGCGCTTATGGCATTGTATTCGTCGCAATGTTGTCTTTCGACTCCGCCGTACCGCTGAGGTTGCTGCATGGCATACGCTATATGCGCTGTGTGTGTTTTGCTGTATACGCTGTTTATGTCCAGTTTTATATGCGTATGTTTTTGCATGTACGCTGTTTTTGCATGCTTTAAATAGCTGGTGTTATTAGTGTTCATTGTTAATTATTCGATGAAGTGAAATATACTGTGTAAAGGAAAAGAGTTGTCCTCGTGCCGTGTGGTCGTACGATCCTGACAATTTAGAGAATCTTAGAGGGTTCACAACACAGAGTGTGGTTGCTAGTAGAAAAACGCACGCACACCCAGACATAAACACAGAGTGTGGTTGCTTGCACGCACACACACACACACACGCACACACACACACACACACACACACTCAAACACACACATACACACACACACACACATACACACACACCGAGACATAAACACAGAGTGCGGTTGCTTGCACAAACACCCACCCCCCCCCCCCCCCCCACACACACACACACACACGCACACATGCATACACCTTGAACCTTGAACGCCCATTGCCGTAGCAATAAAAGGGATGGCTTCCTCACACTGAGGTTTTAAACAGGAAATCTGCAGTATGGCGCATGTCACTTGAGGTGACTGGAACGACAGAACACTCTCTGTCACAGCGGTAGTTAGGGCACGGGATGTCTGGGGCTTCCTTCTTCACCCTTTGTCGACCACACGGAAACCAGGTGGATCTCTCCGGCACTGTGTCATACCAGTCCACCTCAGACATCCCGATGACAGTGGAGTCCGAGGACACAACATCCCGCCAAGGCTTCTTGGGACCATATTGCGGGCGATTGCAGGGCAGTTCAACGAACAGCCGCATGATCTGCTTGGGCAGCCAGGTCTCCTTCATCCGTGCAGCATGACCAAGCCACTGCAGGCGGTGCTTCCTGATTGCATCGGCCATGTCGACGTCCACCCTGCCAGCTCAATCAGCGGGGCCGACAACAATCTCTCCTCCCATTGCTCATGACGAGAGATACCGAGAATTGCGCGAATACACTGATGGCGAAAGGTTCGGAGTCGGCGAATACGATTCACCTTTATGGGCCATGTCTCCGCACTGTAGAGAAGATCAGAAATGACAATAGCACGATACACCAGCAGCTTGGTGTGGACCGAGATATTTACGCACTGTAATATTGGAGACCTGAGAAAACCCAACAGCCCGGACGCCTGCGCCAAACGAGCAACGAGGTTCGCCTCCACCATTCACACACACACACATATAAAAACACAGACACACACACAACTACCCCCTTCCTTCACACACACACACACACATAAACACACACATAAACACAAAATTACAGATGGAGCGGACTCGCTCCCTTCTATTTACACTGCAACGTTCGAACACATTTTCGTAGTTAAACAACGTTTCGGCATATAGCCCTCATCAGGTTTGCAATGATGTGCACTCTACAAAGGAGCAGCAAATATACTGTGCCGTGCTGTGTTTGCGCTAAATGTGTCAGCTACAAAGGTGGCGAAAGGGATTGGTGATATATTAATATCCAAATACGATATATTCACAGTAGTGCCCAGCCAGCATTAGTGTTTACTTGCGGCTGCAAGTTGCGGATTTCAACAGCTTCTCGCAGTTTTCTGCTTGCTCTGTCGCCTGCCCTTGCCAGGACTGATACAGCCGAGAACACACTATCCGCAGCAGCTATACTCTCGCCAGAATGTTTGTTGCGCACGTGGTCACCCCATGGCTTATCGAGAGTGCGACGGCGTGCCTCGCCATTGTGCTCCCGAATTCTTGTTTCCAAGGAGCGTTCCGTCTCCCCTACATACGTTTCCCGGCACCATTTGCATTGCAATTCGTAGACTACATTCTTTGTCATACATACTCGTTCGCCTCCAGACTGACAGGTAATGCAAGGCCCTAGTGGACGTCCTCTTCGTCTTTTTTCAGTAATGTTGGGCTCGTTTACGCACTTGGGTGGTAACAGCGCCGAACGGCACAGTTGACGCCTGAGGCTGCCCGAGTGCTCGTATACGACACGTACCGGCAACTTGTATTTCCGTATTGCTTTGTTCACATGGTGGTGTACTTCATCGGACTTGAACGGTAGTTTAAGGAAGGCAGAGCGGGGATTACCGCGTCGTCTACGCCGAGGTTTCCTGGCAGCTTCCCTTGCTTCCGATATGATACTGTCTGGTAGTTATTTATGCGCAGTTGTTTGTGTATTTTTTGTTCGCTCTCGGCTTGCATCATGGGGTTAGACGATAGTCGCTGTGCCCTTAGGAATTGAGATTGAGCGACGGCTAACTTGATGTGGTGAGGAACTGCCGATGAATAATCCACCAGTAGGCCACTACTGCATGCCTTCTGGAACAATTTGAATGACAGCTCTCCGGTTTGCCCAACCGCGATCGTTACGTCCATGTAGTCTATGCAGCCACTGTCACAACTTAATTCATGCGTGAATTTGATACGTTCGTGGCTGGCGTTGAATCTTTCTATGAGCTCCAGAAGGCGCTGCCTACCATGTGTCCATAGGATGATGATATCGTCGATGTATCGTCTGAACAGAATAGGTTGGAAGGGTGAGTCCTGAAGAAGTCGTGTCTCAATGGTGTGCATAAACAGGATGGCAAATGGAGGTGCCAGGTTGTTCCCCATAGCAACCCCATCTAGCTGGTGGTAGATCTGTCTGCCAAATCTGAAGTAGTTGTGACTCAGAACAAACTTCAGTAGTGTCCTGACTTGGGTCACGCTCAGCCCGAACATATCAACTCTGTTATGGTGTTGCTCTAGCACGTCACTAACGGCATTCACGCCCTCTTCGATCGGTATGCTGGGATACAAACCCACCACATCCATCGTAGCCAGAATCGTTCCAGCAGGTGCTTTAAGGCCAGGGTATATGGTGCGGATATTGTCTAGCGCGTCTTTGGTGTTGATGAGGTGCGATGGGACAAATGCAAGCAGTTGATGCAATATGCGTTCGAGAACCACCGAAATTCCTGTGACTGGACTGTCACAAGCAGAGACAACAGGTCGGAGGGGCAAATTTTGCTTGTGGTCCTTTGGAAGACCGTATAGTTCCGGGAATCGTGTGTCATGAGGGAGTATTGCAGTCAGAAGATCAGGATCCATATTCGTGCATTGCTCTTCCAGTATGGATTTAACCTCTTTCTCATACGCAGTGATAGTTAGATCCACTTTTCTGTACATAGTGCTGTCAGACAGAAGTGCCTCTGCCTTCTCCAGGTAGAGTTCCTGTTTCATAGCTACTAACTTCTTGCTCTTGTCGGATTGCTTTATCACTACACTGGGGTCATGACGAAGTTCTCTCAGTCCGTCGCGTTCCTCTTGCGTCATATTATGCTTGGGAGGTCTTTGTTTGCCATATGCTGCCAAAACTTCGTCCTTGAAGTTGGCCATCTTTCTTTCCCCATCCTGGCTCATTCTGGGCGGTTGCTTGAAGCCATGCTTCTTTAGCTTCCACAGCCTGCGATCACACTCGGTACCGGTATCGTGGTCGTCCTCTGGCTGGTCCACACCCTGAGGCCGCGCCTGCTGCCATCTCAAAGTGTAAGCCATCCGTTCTACGGAGGTGACCACTTCTGATTTCTCACGACTGGTTAACTTGCCCGTGGACGGTACAAAACCGGGTCCCAGTTCCAATACCCGTCTGGCATTGTCTGTTACACACGAGTCCATGACAAGCGTTCGCCGAGAATGCTCCATTCCCGTCCGGCCGGGACTACCCAGGGCTGTCCCACTCTGGTAGGACGACGCGGGCAAACATGCCTCACACACACACACACACACAAACACTCACACACACAGACGCACGCGCGCACGCATGCAAGCACTCACGCACATACACACTAAAACACAGAGTGTGGTTGCTTGCCCAGACTCTCATACACCCAGAGTTGATTGCACAAACACCCACAAACCCAGCCATAAACACAGGGTGTGGTTGCTTGCACGTAGGCACACACACACACACACACAGACACAGACATACACACACACACTCACACACACACACACACACACACACACACACACCAGTTCTGTCCTGTAGCCACTACCACTAGGGTCACGTGGGCCCCGGAGGGGCAGCAGAGAGAGAGAGAGAGAGAAAGAGCACGCCAGCCGATGGCGCTCCAGATGCGAGACTAGTCGGAACCGGCGAGAGCAGATACACATATGCCGGAACTTGTCCCGTTCTCTGGCCGTTGGTCACACACACACACACACACACACACACCCCACAGGCACACAATGTCCACGAGCAAAAACAACCACACGAAGAAAGTGTAGGCGATTGACCACCCACACACACACATGCTAACAAGGTGTTGGCGTAAACGTGCTCTTAAACACACACAAGCGCAAACACAATCGCGCACGCAGACGTGCATATGATCGCACACATGCACACTCGCAGGCGCACACACGCGCAAGCCCCCCAAGTGAGGGTGCTTGCGCACGACCACACACATATGCAGACACGCACACCTGGTCCTGGTCCTAGGCTGGTAAGCACTGCCATTATGGTCACGTGTCCCCTTTGTGGGGCCGACAACATGGAAACGACGAGCGACGGCCGAAAGTCGGCAGTCTGCCAAGAGATCAGGAACCATGTTCAATTGGCACCACGAGAGAACCATCTCTGGCAGCTATGGATTTGGAAGCCACGAGTAGAGCGGCAGCACCGACCACATGCCCCACAGTGGGCCTTGCAACACGCGCGAGCAAGCGCGCGTGCACACACACACGTACGCACGCACACACATAACCATCATAGCAACTTCTTTTAAATCCAATTCTCCATGATTACACAAACTATGACAAAAAATAAACAAAATTACATATAGAACATTGTAACCACACATAGAAATTACTATCAGTTCATAAATCAATGATGAAAAAACAACATAGCATAGCAGTAGCAGCAGATATGATTATAGGCATGAAAACATCAGAAATCTATTCACAACAGTCCTCAACATTAGAGTAGTAAGCAGGCAAGCAGCAAGCAAAAACAGAATATCTACAAGAAGAAAAGCAGGCAAAAAACATATCGATGGTCAGGGTTTAGGGGTAGGGGGTATACAGGGGAACAAAACAATACAAAACTTTACATTCTCTCAAGAATTTACAACAAATTTACTGTGTTTATATGACTGTGTGGTCAAATTACAACACAACATACATTGTCACAATCACATTACACTCACTCAACCAGTCTACATACTCACACACCACACAAGCGATCCGGACACTCCCTCTCTGTGAACACAGTGAGAAGTTGAGAACAAACATTCTCACTCAAGCCACAGTCATACACTGACAGTGTACGTAACTGTGCACACACCTTCACTGCTTCAATGAATCTCAATTCATCATCCTCACTACCCACAAACACATTCCTATTCAACCACAATAGTACCAGCTGTGTACATTGCTCCAACATACCACTTAGTACAGACAGCGGTGCAGCAACATCACTATACATGTACTGGACATAGATAGTGTGTACATTCTTACACTGACTAAGTGCACGGCACACCGACACAAAACCACTCACACCCACAGGGTTACCACTGACATACACAACCATAAGACTAGCAGACATGGCTGAAATCAGGGAGGACAATGCCTGACCATCATGAATACCATTCCACAGTAGATGTAGTACACGTACACTACTACACCTCTGTAAGCCTGCTGATAAGCTGTGAAATGACTCATCACCAATACTACAATCGGCGAGGTCGACTTCCTCCAAATCACTACACGTATAGACACACAGTAAAGAACTGAGAGCAACACATTCATGAGAAGAAAGAGAAACGCCACGGAGATTGAGCTTTGATGCAAGTATAGCACGAAAGAAAGGGTGTGTCCAGTTGCAGGACACACCGTGATACTCTGCATGCTCATGATATGCCACCACAAGATGAACAAACAACCTACGTATAGGAGAAGATTCATCAGCAGCAACAGCAGCATCAGCTAGACTTACAATGCCAGAAGGAGCAGCTTGCAGGGATTCATGACTCAGCAGCATAGCAGCGGGATGAAGGAGACTCTCGCACGGCCGCGCCAGCTCGGCATCCACCTGGGATAGCGCTTCCAGCAGCACAGTGCCATTTGCAACACTGCCGTTCTCCATCCACACCGTCAGGAGAGTCTTTAGGAATAGCGCGTCTGTGGGCTCTCGGCTGATGGGCATGGAACGGCGCACACGTTGCCCACCATGGCCCTTGCCACGGTCATGCCGAGAAATGAGGAGAATGTCGGCGAGGACTGTCATGTGCTCAGCCTTCAGTACCTGGCAAAGTCGGTCGTTGACCTTTGCCATCTCAATCTCACCGGTCAGGACACTTGAGTCGTTGCGCATGTCCTCGGCTAGCTTAGCGGCGGTGGCAGCACGTCTAGCGGCAGTAGCAGCATGTTTGGCGGCCTTCGTCGTCGCGTTGGAAGCCCATTCCTCTCGCCCGTAGCTTACCCATTCGTTAGCTTTTTTGGTGGATTCGTCGGCCTCACCGCTAGGATCCAGTGGTATGGGATCCGCACACTGCACACGCCATAGCTCCTCCATGATGGTCAGCGACACGTCTTCCGGGCAAAGAGCAATGAGAAACTTCCAGAACATTGCCATATGGCCATCGTACGCGCCCAGTCGCCGTACCAGGGCAATGGCGTGATGTCTTTCTTGCACCACGCATTCTGCCTGAAACCATGCCGCCAGGAACTCCTGCAGTGACAGATGACAGAAGCGGTATTGCCGAGCGTCCGTAGACATTGTGCCCTGGCATTTTTGCAGAAGACCCAAGCTCATGGCATCCTTGCTCAAGTGGGAGTTGATGATGTCGGACGTGTTGAACACCATCCTTTTCACCAGCAGCATGCGAAACGCAAAACGCCCCAGTTCCTGTAGCGACTGGACCACTTTGCTGGGTGCCAGTGAAATCGACTCGCAAACCGCACCACCAGCACGCTCTACGACTCGACGCAGTGACGATTCGTACAGGGATGCGCTGCACTTCCACACGGCATTGTTGCTCTTGAAAAGCTCACATGTTAGGGCTGCAAACATGGGAGTTGTCATAAGACATGACACATCCGGCTTGCTCTGCAGCTCTGCCAGCAGAATTTCAGCGCGCTGTCTACCGAGAACCTTCTCTGCGTATTCCCTCACGTTCTCCTGTGAGAAACCCAGTACTTGGATCTTCTGCTGATATTTACCACACTGCGATAGTTGATATGCATCCTGGCATGGACGGCTTGTGACGATCACGTGTGTCTTCACCATGCCCTCACGTTTCAGCAAGTCACTCATGAACAAACTGCAGCTGGCGAAATCACATTCATCCAAGCCGTCCATGATGACACATAGACGGCTTGGAGAATCCTCGAAGTAGTTTGCTAGCTCCAATATCTCAGTCTGCGACAGGCCCTGGCTCGCCAGTTTCACAGTCAACAGCTCAGCAAGACTAGTGGCAGCTCTCACCTCTTTTTTACGAAGCTCCAGTCCCACGACCAGATCGAATTCCTCCTGCCATAGTTCGCCTCTGCTCCACAGGTATAGAACCATGAGCAGAAACACTGTGGTCTTGCCACTACCAGCAGATCCGTACGCCAGTACATTCCGTAACACTTTGCCACAGAGATTCGGTCGCTCGGTCGCTGTAGCTGCTGGTGCAGATCTTCCTTTTGAATGGGAAACGTCGTCAACACTCGAACCTGCGTCGCGAAACAGGTTCTTCAATTCAATTCGATCGGCTTTGCTAAATTGCACTGCGTGTTCACGTCTCTCGGCATACGTCGAGAACGCTTCATCAAAGTCTCTTTTCAATTCCTTTTCAGACACAAACGCCAAATTCACGAATATCTGTTCGAGCGGAATGTGATCATCAGAAGCGAGGCCGCCGCTCAGCTGAACTCCCGACTCCTCGGCCTGTTCCAACAACTTCTTTTTAGCTTTCACCAGTGAAGGCAGCAGAGCCCTGGGCTTTGCGCCAGGCCCCTCAGCCATAAGCAGTAATGTTAGCTTCGACAGCACAACAGGTAGATGTACGTGTGTGAAAAGCGAAAACCTACTTTGTCAGTTCAGTGCAGTTTCTCCGTAGACCTACTACTACTGTTCAGTGCAGTTTCTCAGTTCAGTGTTACATGATGCGTTCAACACTCACTCTGAGTACGAGTGTAGATCTACTGTCATGTAAGTACAGGTTCCTGCACGAGTACGAGGGCAGTACCGCGGAATCCAGCCTGCGCCGCGATAGCGGCAAGGGCTGGATGAACAGCGGTACTGACCGAGTATGATTGACTGAAAGTGTTTCCCGTATGCACCCAAGCCAAGCCAAGGTCGCAAGGAGATCACTCACAATCTTTGAGTTTACATGAACCATTCTGTGACTCGAGTCCTGTATACTGTATGAATTTATGACAGTATGAGGCTGTGAGCTGAGTGAGACGAGAGTGACTTCGACAACCGTACACGGACTACAGACTCTGTACATGACTTTTGCATGTACTTTCAGACCACAGAAGCTTGTCATTGAAATGGTAGACTCATGTCATGAGCGGATTCTGTTCACTGCCTGTCGTCAAGTGACGACGGGCAGTGGATTCTGTCCACTGCCCGTCGTCAAGTGACGACGGACAGCTAGCTGTGCATGCAACACTTTGAATATAGACCGATCCCCTTATTATTGTCTGGCCGG